GTCTGCATCATAAGTGAACTATGTAGAACCAAGGGCAGCACACAGTATTAGGCATATTTCGGGAAGTAAAAGGCAGTGCTCATGTGTCTATAACCTTGAAATAATTTTTTCCATTGGTATGATTTTTGAATTCGAGTGTGTGCTTGCATTTGATTGAGTTCAGAGATGATATCAAATTCAGCCTTGGATCTCAACTGCCTAGTGCTGAGCTGGATCTGACATAGTCACTTAATAAATCTATGTGGCATGAAGGGAAGAGTACAAAAGGGTCTTTATCTGGCAAAAGATAGTGGTATTTTCATTTTTAATCATTGAGACACTGAATTTTTTCAGTTACTACTCTCTTGTTCTATCTCTCTCAGCAAAACTTAAAACTCGGTGAGGAATTATTTTACCTGAAATTTCATACTGGTGAGAACAAAGATTTTGGAATATCAATCTTTGGGAATCTTTTGTCATTTCTTTATGTCTCTATTGGGGTCTGACAACAATGAATACAATGACTTTCACCACTGTTATAAATACTAATGGCATTTGTTACACATTCTCTAAGAGCTACAGAACGTGCCAGAGGACTTCTACATGTTGAAATACTTAATTTGCATAACACACCGGGGAGGTAGGTCTTCTTATTGCCATTTAACCCTCACTGGTAGATACTGGGCCTCCTGCCCAAAGTCATACAGCCAGTCAGATAGGGGTAGACAAGACTAGTGATTATGGTGAGGACATGATGAGCAGCCTCCAAAAACAATAGCTATTAGTGCAGGAGTACAAAACACAAAGAGTGCACAACATGTAAGTATGAATAAGTGTATGAGATCAATCCCCTGCCCGAGAGCCAAGACACACAGCATAAAAACTATCTCTGCTTGGTGGGAGAGGAAATTTAAGGGTATGTTAGGTGTGAGGGTGTGGGACGTGATCACGCTATTCCAGAATTAAAATTTTCCCTTTGAGAATACTACTCTTCAGCATTCAGCTACAGGAGTGGGATAAAGAAACACAGCCTAAGGCACATTTTATCAGTTTCACAATTCACCTAGTGTAAGTCTTCATGTGCTCTATGTTTAAATATTACAAAGAACAGGATAGAACATTCTTCCCTTGCTCCTTCCCTGAGAGAGATCTGTTGCTGTCTGTTGTTCAGGCTTCTGGCCGAATGTGCCACCCCACAGTGTTTCAGCAGAGAGCTGCCAGAAGAGAATAATAGCACTCCCAGTGTTATCTGCTGACACGAAGGACAGGAACACACTTACAGCCTAGTCTTGGCTTCCTGCCTCTTGTTAAGGGACCGAACAGCCAGCCTCCCTGAGACATACTAGCTTACTCTAGCACTATTTAAATCTCTTTATATGGTGTTTCTCTCAAGGTTTATATCTTTTAGATCTTATCTTTCATTTGCTTTCATCCCTTAGACTAATGGAACAATAAGTATAATGTCTTGGGGGGTGGATTTGACCTCTGTGAGACCCTAACAGGAGCAGAGTTCAGTCTAAACCCAAACTGAACCCCTAGCCTCCCAGGAGGTGAGAGAGGCCCAGACCTTTTTGATATCTTGAGGGTATGGGTAAATTAAAAAGTAGAGATTGCCAAAGAGAGCTAGCAAAGCAGTTGGATATTATTAACTGTTTACTAAAATAAACACTTTTAGCACAAAACAATATATGTAATGTAACATCAAAACGTAGGATTTCACATTCACAGGGTTTATTAAAACTTCAGACTGTGTTTCAGGTGTTATTGGCAAATCATAGGTTACAAGATTAAGGTTGTCCAGTGAATGTTTTATCTTTTTCAATCCTTAGAATGCATCTCTGTGTGTGTGTACTCTCATTCAAAAAGGAGTTTTATTGTCTTGTCAGAATATGAGGATTTCTGATAATGTGAATTAATTTTTCCCCAATTCTTCTTATAATCAATCCTTCCTTAGAGGCTCTGTCCTTATTAGAATACATGCAAGCTTTTATGCTTTGTGTTAATTTTTCAGGTTTCATTTTCCAAAACTTATTAAAAACTACTTGTCTGAAAAACCTAACCAATGTTAGTTTGAGCCCAGACTGGGCAATTTAGCAACTTCGCAAGATCCTGTCTCAAAAAATAAAAAATCCCTAAGCATGAAAAAACAAACAACCTAACTTATAAAACCTAGACCAATGAATAGAGTGTGTCAGTGTTTGAAATTTCAGATATTCTTTTAATTATAAAACCTTTTTACAAAGCCTTGCAATTTAAATTATTAGCAACTCTCTAAAAATGACTTGTACTCTTGTATTCTTATTTTCTTTATTTGACTTCCCTCCACCCCTAGTGTAGAGTCGATGAATTTGAAAACAGGATGTCGGTTCTGAATGGACAGTGGTCTGACGCCTGTCCTGCTACTGTAGTGGTGCTGTCGAAGTGCTGTCCCTCTCTAGGCTTCAGTTTTGTATCTCTAAGATAGGATGGTAGTTTTCATTTCTCAAGTCTCTTTTAGTTTTAAAAGATTGATTTTTCTTAATCCCTTTCTCTATTTTCTGCCAAATTACCCCCAGATATTTGTGTGTGTGTGTGTGTGTGTAAACAGTCTTGCTATTTAGCTCAGGCTGTCTTGAACTCTAGATACTCTAGGTCCTCCTGCCTCTGTCTTCTGAGTGCTGGGATTACAAGGTGTGTGCCAGATCCCTAGAGTATTTTTTAACACCTGAGATCCAAAGCTATCGTCATGGTCAAGCAAAACATTTGCTTACTTTACAACCAAAATCAGAACATAATAAGCATAGATTTATTTTTTTCTTTGACCTGGTTGTGATGAAATGTTTATTTTGTTGTCATAGTGACTAGTTTAAACCAAGTAAACTCAAATTACTATAAAGACTTAAAAATAAAAGAAAATTAAATTTTTTGGCTCAGTTGCCACATACAAGTCTGCACTGAAAATTTAGGGCACTAGATGGCAATATAAGTGCATCACATAACAAATATTTCCTTGGTTGGTCCAGCATTAAAATCCTGGAGATTGAGGCCAAAACAGGTTAATGCATTAGTTAAAGAAGCAAAGTCAAATATAATCAGGTGTTAGAGTGTTAGCTAATATTCTGAATGTGTTCAGTAACCCAATGCTTATTGAAAGAAAAGATTGTTAAAATAGAAATTAATCTATCTTATTGCTGAGTATATCTTTGAGCTAATTCTTGGTCCAAGAATTGGCAATAAACACATGTATCCTATCAAATGTGTCTAATTCGTATTTTCCTCTCCATTTTTGGTTTTCACTTTTTAAAAATAGTAGTTGTTTGGGATAGAGTGTGCCTCACATGCATTATTCATTAATAAATAGTATATTCTTATAAGAAAGATGAGCCATAAAACACTGGGGCTTTAAAGGAGAAATGGCTGACTTACTGTAAGCTGTTGGCTGGGCCATTATTGACTGGCAGGCTCCATTGGAAGCACTCTGTGAGTGGATTAGGTTGCCCTGGAAATGCCTTCCTGAAACTCTAATGATGCACTTAAGGGAGCCCTATGGGACAGGAGTAAAATGTCTCTTAGCAGGCGTGTCTTCCGCCGGGGTCCTCTTGGGATGAGTTGGGAGTGGGCAGGGGCATGTCCAAAGAGAGCTCAGTAAGGGAACAGCCCCAGAAAAGGTTGCAGGTGGTAATGTCTTACAGGTAAGCCTAGGTAAAGACTTAGCGTTAGAAACCGTGAGCTGTCTATGGGTATAAATGTTTCATTATTTATTTTGAAAGAGCAGCATCAATTCCTGTGCATCCACGTGTGTGTGTGTGTGTGTGTGTGTGTGTGATTTATTTATTTATTTGAAGTGATAGTAGCAAGGGGATGGAAGAAAATAAAGGAAGACATTTGAGTGAATATGATTTTAATCAAAGGATTTGAAAAAGAACACTGTAGCTTGAACATTGGGTCGTTCGGTGGGAATTTTTGAAAAAATCTTTGGAGGGGAAATGCACCCTTCAGCAGAGAAATTAAGTGCATTTGTAAACAGTTTCTTTGAGGGGTTTATTCCAAATGAAAATCATTTCTAGTTATTTCAGTAGTGGGGTGGAGGGGGTACTGCTGTGTGTGTGTGTGTGTGTGTGTGTGTGTGTGTGTGTGTGTGTGTGCGCCCGCGTGCCGTGTGGTATGCGTGTTCGTGCAGGCAAGAAAGAAAAGGCCCTTGGAAACTCAGGACAGGACAGGGAGGAAAGAGGCTACCGCGCGGGTCCCCCGCCCTGAGCCCTGCGCGAGCGAGCGCCTGGAAGTCGCGTGCCCCCGCCGAGCTCGGCGTCCCTGTCAGTCCTGGCAACCTGTCACCACCCAGGAGGACGTGACTCGGAGCTGCCTCCGCGTTCTCCAAGCCATATTCCTTTAAGATGATGTAATAGTCATTTCCCTGGATGGTTTCTTGCCTGCACTGCTGAAACAACAGCATCGAACTGCACCGGGAACTGTGGAACCACCCAGCTCCGCCGCCGCTGGAGGAGCCTAGCGCGAGCCCCCGCCGGCCTCTCCGCGCTGCGCTGCCCACGGCGGCCTCGCTCCCGCCCGCTCCCCAGCCGGGAACATGGGAGTCCGGCTGCCCTTGCCCGCAGGTGGGGTAGCTACCTGGGACCCCAGCCGGGCGCCTCTGTCTGTTTTTCTGCTTCTGGGCTTTCTCTAAGTCCCGGTACCTCTTGCAACTCTTCTCTGTTTTAAGATCCTTTCAAAAGGTTTGATTTTTTTTTTTTTTCCTGGAGAAGCTTTGGTTGAATATTTTTCTCTGCTTTACTTCTTCAACCAACCTCCTCTCATCACCTTAACTTTTTTGTGACTTGTTTAACTTGAGATTGGGAGTGAATACATACACATACATACATATATGAAAATATACATTTATATAAGTACGTATATATCTATATTTAAAAATTATTTTCCAAGAGCACATCTCTCTGGCACTTTTCATTGATACCTCTGTCCGTTACCTGTTTGGGATTTGATGAGATCCAGACTCAGTGTGGCTGTGGATTTTGATTGTTTTGCAGATGGTTATTTCTTCAGGAGAACTGGGTTTCCAGCACTCACTAAGGTAAGCTCTAAGACATTGCCTTTCCGGTCCTGCTTAAAAAAAAAAAATCCCCCTTTAAAAGTTGAAAATTGCATATTTCTTTTTAATGCAGAATTACAAGTAGAACTGTTTTTAATACTAATTGCTGGAGATAGAGGCTATAGATAAATATAAGGACACAAAATAGCATGAAAGAAGCTACAATTTAATTGAGGCATGGCTGATATCAGTAGTTTCAGGGCTGCTTATGTAAAATAATCTCTCTCTCCCTCCTTCTTCCCTCCCCCTCTCCCTCCCTCTCCTCTCTCCAGAGATCTCTCTTTTTTCTGACTCATTGTGGGTTTGAGGAAATAATTTTTGTCTTTTCCTTCAGATGGACCTCTGAGTAACTGGGGACTTGGCCTGCCTTGCCTACTAAGCTTGATGGAAGATCAGATGTAGATGAGTTGATTATATTCCATGAAGTAATAACTCATCACCAGCCAGGTTTTAAATTACTTTTTCAGCATCCCTTCACCTGTGGACTCTTCTAAATTTTGCTTTTTGGGAAAAAACTGGGGAAAGAGGAGGTCAGCTTTTAACAAGTTAGCATCCTTTTCCCTCCAAGTTGATGAAAAGGATAAGGCCGTGACTCCATTGGACTGCACCTTTAAATCAAAATAGCAGAAGAAAGGGACAATGGCTCTGAGTGGAAATTGTAGTCGTTATTACCCTCGAGAACAAGGGACTGCAGTTCCCAACTCCTTCCCTGAAGTCATAGAGCTGAATGTTGGGGGTCAAGTTTATTTCACTCGGCATTCCACACTAATAAGTATTCCTCATTCCCTCCTGTGGAAAATGTTTTCCCCAAAGAGAGACATGGCTAATGAGATAGCCAAGGACTCCAAGGGAAGATTTTTCATTGACAGAGATGGATTTTTGTTCCGTTATATTCTGGACTATCTCAGGGACAGGCAGGTAGTCCTGCCTGATCACTTTCCAGAAAGGGGAAGACTGAAAAGGGAAGCAGAATACTTCCAGCTCCCAGACTTGGTCAAACTCCTGACTCCTGATGAAATCAAGCAAAGCCCAGATGAATTCTGCCACAGTGACTTTGAAGATGCCTCCCAAGGAAGCGACACAAGAATATGCCCTCCTTCCTCACTCCTCCCTGCTGACCGTAAGTGGGGTTTCATTACTGTGGGTTACAGGGGATCCTGCACCCTGGGTAGAGAGGGGCAAGCAGATGCCAAGTTTCGCAGAGTTCCCCGAATTTTGGTTTGTGGAAGGATTTCCTTGGCAAAGGAAGTCTTTGGAGAAACTTTGAATGAAAGCAGAGACCCCGACCGAGCCCCAGAGAGATACACCTCCAGATTTTATCTCAAATTCAAGCATCTGGAAAGGGCTTTTGATATGTTGTCAGAGTGTGGATTCCACATGGTGGCCTGTAACTCATCGGTGACAGCATCTTTCGTCAACCAATATACAGATGACAAGATCTGGTCAAGCTACACTGAATATGTCTTCTACCGTAAGTACCAAAGGTCCTATTTATTTTTCATGCATATTGATTCTCTGCTCAAATGTGTGTGATTCCCACATTCTGCCAATATCTAAGGAATATGGTTTGAGATTGGTGTAACTCTGGAATTATAGCTAGAATACTAGAGGTTATAGTTTGGCTTGCAAGGCTTACTTAAGGCGACTTTTATCTATTTTTCTAATAAGGTCACATGATATTGAGGCCTCAAAAAATCATACATACAAATGACAATGGTATGGGTAATCCATGGAATGAAAACAAGCATGTGTATCTCCTTTCCTCCCTCTTTCTTTCTTTCTCTCTTTCTTTCTTTCTCTTTCCCTTCCTTCTTTTCTTCCTTCCTTCCTTCCTTCCTTCCTCTCTCTCTCTCTCTCTCTTTCTTTCTTTCTTTCTTTCTTTCTTTCTTTCTTTCTTTCTTTCTTTCTTTCTTTCTTTCTTTCTCTTCTTTCTTGTTTTTCTTTCCATACATTGAATTGTGAAGGGAAGGTTGATAATTACAACTTGGCTCTTGGTGCATGGGAGTGTGGAAGAGTCAGAATAGATGAAATACTTCTGTTTATCCTTCAGTTGGACTGAACTTTGGTGCCTGTTAAGTTAGTGGCTTAAGACTTGCTTTATTCAGAGGCTTTTCAAACACAAATGGGTGTTGCACTGAGTGATGTGGTCTTGGCTAGATGGCAGTACAGACTGCTGCAAGGCCTCCTTTCTCCCCTCAAATCTGAAATGTGCTTTTATGGGCTTTAAAAAATCTGCTCTTTGATTCTTTTTGCATTTTGCACTGAGACTTGAGTTGTACTGCAGACTTAATTAAGATAAATTTAAGATCCATCTAAAAAGAACTAGATCCTTGATAATTTTCAATCACATGCAGACACCTTTAGACAGCTGAGGTGATAGAATTATTGACATAAGAGGAAGCCGGAGTGGGAGAAAGGAAATGATTGTACTGATATCTTTTAAGTAGAGGTTCTTAGAGGTCAGTATATTTGCTTAAACAAAGACTTATGGTGCAGATCGCCTTGTTTTATGAAATGGTATTATCCTAAACCATAAATTGTAAGTCGTTTATTTCTGAAGGGGAACAGTAAATCAGTTTATACTGTTTGGTGCTTGATTTAAAAGCTAATTTTCAATAGGCCTGGGAGTTGGGTGAAGTATATTACACAGAGACTATGTTTCCAGTGTTCACATTCAATTTCCTGCAATCTTATTTGAAAGCAAATTCAGAATATGGGCTTAAAATGTCTAAATTTCTGTGAACATACAAGTAAGACTAGATTTTTGGATGGCTTTTGCCTATAGTTGTGTTTATACATTTGGAGCTGTTGGAAACTCTAGTTAGAGAGAAGAGTGGGAAGCAGTGTTGTGTGTGTCCTGAGTATTTGGTTTTTAGAAGTGAAAACACATGGATTACATAGAGAAGACAGCCTGTGGAGGAAAATTAAATCAATTCAGGAGCATACTGATGTATAATAACAAACATTATTTGGTCCAACAACCTTATCTATGGTATTTAACTATAATCTACGTTTTCCCCTGTGCCAGAACTTAGTCACTAGATACTTCTTTTTTCCTTCTGGAGAATTTCCCACTAGTATAGAGCTATGACTGATTCTTTAGCCTTTTGTGGAGGAATTGGCATTATATGTGATTCCATAGGACAAAAATCTTCTTCCAAACTTTTTGGGAAAATGCATCTTAGAGATGGTTCAAATGTAGGTTTGTGATATTTACCATGTTGTCCAGTTTCTAATATTTGAAAACATAGCATCTTAAGAAGCTTCTACCAAATAATTTAATGAAAACATACCAGTCATACCCCCCAAAAGGACAACACTATATTTTTAATTCCTTGCCCACCTAAATGAGGCTCTCAACCATAAATGTATTTGCCTGCTAGTTCAGTGGCACTTCTGTGTTTATCAGTTTCATCTGCCTAACACCATGTCCTCTTTGGATTGCCCTGAAGAGGCTCTGCTCTCCTGATCATATAATTGCTTCTTTCTTTGTTGGATTGCTAAGAGGTTGCTGAGGAACAGTTTGTTCTCCATCTCTCTATGGACAGGCTAGCACAAAAACACAGGGACTTCATATGAACAATATATATCCTGTAAATCATATACTTCCTTTTGGCACCCAACATCCAGAGTCAGGTATTAACTCTTCCTCTGTCTTAGGACAATAAAACTGACAGCTGGCTTTCTAGGGTGCATAACAGCTTCCGTGCAGCTGCTTAGCCATAATTATTTAATTAGAAGCTGCCAACTGTGCCTATATAAGCATTAATTCATCAAGCTGTTGTGCTCGGGTTAATGGGCCGAAATCATGGGAGGTGCTCTAAAGCAAGGAGTTGAGTGCATGCAAAGATGCTTTTCACAGAGGAACTCAACTTCCTCCTGAGTTTAGTAGGGGGGAAATCACACACACGTGTACACACACACACACACACACACACACACCCCTACATAGATCCAAGGAATTAATCCCAAGCAATCCAACTCCTCCTCTAATAACCCAGGTATAATGCAAAGTCGCTTCGCCTGTATTTATATCATAAGAAAATGAACAAGGAATTAGTGCATTGCATATGGTGGGCGATAGTCCTGGGAAGAGACCTATTTTTTTCCCTATTTGCATATTTTTCACCCAACTCTTCCATGGGGAATTTGGGAGAGCAAAATCTACGTATCAGATATTAACACTTCAGATTGTTATCTTCTTCAAATTATGTGGACCTAGAGTTAATGGTCAGCATTAGGTAATTTTGGGTGAGTGTTTTGTTCTTGTCGAATTATAAACAATTAAAAAGTCAACTGGTGCTTGTATGTGTGTAAGAGAAAGGTAAGAATTGTATTTGTCTACGTCACTCACACACCAAAATATGATTTGTGAGATACTATGGATTATGGCTCACTTATCTGTAATCAAAAGAATTCATATGAGTGATATAGAAACAGAAGAAATACAAACTGTTCCTTTTTCTTTCTTTTTTTTTTTTGAGGGGGGTACCAGGGATCAAACTCAGGACCTTGCACTTGTGAGGCAGGCGTGGTGTCACTGAGTTAAACCCCCCAGCTCCAACATCTGTTTTTTTAGAATTGCCTGACAAAATATTTTAGGTATGTACTTTGATTTTATTTAAGACAATAAACAGTTACCTTTTCTCCTTTCCCACCCAATTGATTAAATAATGGCTCTTTCTTTTCATGTATTACACAGAAGATGACATTATAAACATCAGACAGTGCTTCATGGTTCACATCTACATAAAGTGAGAGTGAAGTGATTTGGAAAATAGAAGTCTTGAGTTTGAACTAGATACTCAGGAGCCATCAAACCACTTAGGAACAAAATCACAGGTGTATGGAAATAAATGAACCCCTTATTCCAAGAGCCTTTCGCCAAGGCCTGAGTGGCAAGATTGTTTTTGGTTGAAGAGAATAATGCACATTTCCTTAAGCCTAGTCATGAGTGAGCTACTTCACATGAATGCCTCAAAGCACTCAGAATTTCAGGCATTTGCCTCTAACAAAACTGTGATAATATGACCACAGGTAGGGAGTTTAATTCATGAGAGGCTTTACTTTTAAAATATACACTTTGAGTTCTTTGTTTTTTTTTTCTTTTGGTACCAGAGATCGAACTCAGGACCTCGCCCTTGCAAGGCAAAAGTGCCACTGAGCTAAATCCCTGGCCCTTGAGTTCTTGAATTACATAAACAGTTACCTACTCATCATCTTTTCCACAAGCTGCTTATAGGTACATAGCCTTCTCTATTTAGATTTCCTTTAATTTTAAAGGCTTGTTTCCATAAAGGTTTCTAAATTAGTCTACATACACAGTATATATCTTCAGGCCTGTTGAATAATATAGGATGTTGGCAAAAAGTACACCAGGAAATTATTTCTTACTTAGAATTCACCCGTGTGACCTTATATTGGGAAGAAATAGATGGTTTTGTCCACAGTGAATAATTTACTTGATACTGACCATAAAAGCATCAGTTAAAAGGGTCTACTTTCATAGGAAAAGAGGTGAAAGTGCATCTGTCCCAAAAGGATTCTAGTTCTTTTTTCTTCTGATTATTTGAAAGATACTAATAATAACTGCAATTTTTATTCCTCATAGATATATGAGGTTGGCATATTTAAAATGAAACAGCAGAGAGAGTGTAGAGAAAACCATGAGTTCTGTGAGGGTTGGTCTCTGCCAACACTTCCATCTCCTCTTTTTGTAGCTTTTCTGTCCTCTCAGTTTGGACACTATCTTTTTCTCCTGCTCATAACTGCCTCTCTCAGGTTTTCTCCCCATGCCGTAATCAGAATTTGTTGTCAGGAAAACTTCTCTATCATTACATTTAGAATGAACTGAAGGCATAGTGTTACTTTTCCCAGAAGTATTTGTGCAGAGATACACTTTTAACAGTTGTGGATCATGCTGCAGCTTTTTACTCTGAAAGAAGCATTCCTGAGGCTTGCAGCCTCATCCTGAAGTCAACCTAGATCCAAAGCTCAGGCAGATATTGGATAGTAGCAATGCAGGAGTAATGATACAATTTTTTCTTATTTCTTTAAAATTCTGTGCATTGAGAATTGGGCTTAATATAGTACAACACAAGCATACTAGGAAAATATTTTCTTATACCATTTTCATGTCCATGGCAAATAAGACCTATTACCTGAGCTCAGTTCCTTGTGGAAGATGAATAAAATAGCTTCTTCTTGGGTATGTGGCATCACTGAGTGAACGTGGCAGCAGGAGACATGGAAGTGTGTGACCAGAGAGGGAAGGGGAAGGTCTTTGATATTGCTGCCAAGTGTCCTGATATGTTATAAAGTATATATGATTAGAAAGAGAAGACTGGATATTCCTGACAACCTAATAAGGTTTAGATGTTATCAAGAAAATTAGAAATGGAAATAACTGAGAGTCCATGATGCATCATCAAACACCTCCAAAGAGAAACACAGACAGAGAGGAATGATTGT